ATTCTAAATGACTTAAATGATTTCAGGAAGAAATAAAACTTTTGAATAATCAATTCAGATCTGAATTTCAATTTGAATTTCAATTACCTCTAAATTTGTCTGTAGACTCAATGCAACTCCAAGAATAAATCAAAGGATTTTTTCCATGGAGTTTGTCAAACTAATTATAAAATTCACATGGAAGAGCAAAGAGCCAAGAACAGACTAGGTGATGTTCAAAGTTCTAACTATTAGGAGAGAGCAGATTACTCAGAACGAATGTGGAATGCTGTAGTCAGAACCTGGAATTATATAAACACCTGACTTATGATTAAGATGGCACTGCACCTCACAGAAGGGAAAGTTAGTCAATATATTGTGCTAGGAACATTATTTTGCCATATAAAAAGAAAATAAAGAGAATTCCTATCTCATACTGTTTACATAGCACATTTTAGTTAATGACTTTAGTATGATAGTAAGCTTTAAAGCTTTCAGAGGAAATTATAGTAATATCTTTATTACCTTGAAATCTCTTCAATAGACATAAAACAGTGCTAGTCATAAAGGAAAATATAGATGAATTAAAAGGTGATTTTTTTGGGGGGAGGGGATACTGAGGTTTGAACTCAGAACTTTGTGCTTGGGAAGCAGGCACTCTACAGCTTGAACCACAGTTCCAGCCCTTTTTGCTCTGGTTACTTTGGAGATAGGGTCTCACTTTTTGCACAGGCCTGCCTGAACTGTGATCCTCCTGCTGAAGCTGGGATGACAGGCATGGACCACCATGTCCACCTTTTTCTGTTGAGATGGGGGTCTTATGAACTTTTTGCCCAGGCTGGCCTGGAACTATGGTCTTCCTGATAGCCTCCCACATAGCTGGGATGATAGACCCAGCTATTGTTTGAGATGGGATCTCTGAACTTTTTGCCAAGGCTGGCCATACAGCACAATTCTCCCAATATCAGTCTTCCAAGTTAGCTAGAATTACAAGCATGAGACACTGGTGCCTGGCTGAATAAAATTATTTTAAGTTAAAAATTTTCTCTTTATTAAAATACATCATAAGAAAAAAAAACAAGCCACAAACTGGGAGGTGATGCAATGTAAAAAAAAACATTAAAAGGATTAGTACTGATGTTATCAATAGTCTTAAATTTAATAAAAGAATCCTGTAATAAAAGAACAAAGACATAAATGGAATTTCTTATTAAAGTCAATTAGTAATGGTAAGTAACCCTATAAAAAGACATCTCAAACTGTAGATTGAAAATAGATTAAAGTTTGTTGCTTTAATGTACCAGGTGAAGGTTGAACAATACAAGCATTGGTAAGAATACAGAGCAACATGAGATTTCATTATACTGTTTGCACCTTATGAAATTGTAGTTGCAACTACAAGGGTGTTATAATTAAACACCCTTTGGCATCATATAAAAAATTATGGCTCACTAAATTAATTCCTCGGTGCATTTAAGAAACTACTATGAATCAAGACCCATATGAAGTAACATTTATGGTGGCATTGTTCAAAATTTTCCAAAATTTTGATTTCTGTGTTACATAGAATGGATGTATAAATTGTGTTATGTTTAAACCAATGAATAGCGCTCAATGAAAATTCACATATTAACACTGAATGTATCAAAAAGAAAGTCAATATTGAACAAAAAGGAATGCACATGAATTAATTTCAAAATCAGGCAGAACTAAACAATGCATTCTCAGGGTTACATACTCAATAGTAAAATAAAGGAATCCAGGAAGGACTCAAATAATGTTCAGTGGAGAGAGTGCTCTGGGAGATAGGGGACTGAGATTAGGTAAGGGAAAAAAGTGGTCTTAAAAAAACCTGGAATGCTCTATTTTTTATGGTGTGTCATGTATATGTGACTTTTAGGTATTTTTCCTTAAAATATACTTATTTTATGCTGTGTATCTTAATGATATTTTCATTAGCTAGAATCTTTAAAAAATTCTCACTATTGTGATGAGAATGAAAAAAAATGAAACACTTGAAAGTCCATTAATGTTCCTCCTAAAAGAGTCTCCATTCAGAAGCCAGTATTAATTTGTTCCACTGGGATTATTTTTTAATAATAAAATTTTTAATACCTACATGTGTTACTGTGATAAGCCTTTGTTTCTCTCATATTGTACATAAATCCTGAAAGCTTTCCATGTAGGAAGCAACTATGAGAGGTTTCTTTTTGCTTTTATATCATCAGTGAATATCGATAAGTTAATTGCAATTAGTTGGTAAAAGACTCTCTTTGCTTCTAGTGATAATACATTTATTGAAGTGGAGGTCTTAACATTTCTGGTTTCATGGATGGGTTTTGGGGGGAGTCGATCAATTTTCTGTGTAGGGGTGTCTGATGGCTTATAACCTTAACTACACTTTCTGTTCTGTAAGTCTATAAGAGTGCTTTTCTTGGGAGAATTTCTATAACTTTCATCCAATTTTAAAAGAGTTTATGTCTCCAAATGTTAAGCATCACTGGTTTAGAGAATGTGTGGTGTGAATCTTTAAAGCTGAAAAATCTCCTGTATTTTCTATTATGAGCCCATCATGCATTCACATGGTAAGCAACATTTTTAAAGAATCAAATGCTTTTTGAACAATAAAATTTTTTTCACAATCTTCATTATTACAGAAAACCACAAAATTTAAGTATATTTTCTATGCATACAGAGATGTCATTCTGATTTATTTAAATAATCTTTTTGACAGAGAAAGCATATGGTGTTGCTAAAATAGTCCTGAATGGAATCAGAAGATTCTGCTCTGATCCCAGTTTTAGCACCAACTAATTTATATGACCTTGAGCAAGTTCACCTTAGCTCTCAGAGCTTTCGTCCTATCTTAGGGAAAACGTGGGGATGAAGGTTGCTGCTGGATGGAGTCCCTACCATTACATGAAACGTATTTATGTGCAGATTTCAGCTCAGTACCTCTGAAAGGCCAGACCTTTCCAAGTGAGTGATGCACAATCTGTACACTCTTATCAGGTATTTACTTGACTAATAGTTGCCCAAATACTATTACCCATCATTTTTCATGTCCCTCTTTGTCTTAATCCTGAAGTCACAGCTTGCCTTAGACAAGCAAGGCATCAAATTTCTCATAAAAGTGCCTAATAAGATTAAAGAAAAGTGTAATAACAAATTATCTTATTTCAACTTGTTAAAATTGAGTGAAAAAATATAGGCACAGCCATACAACTTGGAAAATGATTAATGCTGCATACCTCATAAACCACATCAACTCTAGGCTTTTAAATTTTACTGCTCTTACCACTTGGAACATTTGATATGCAGAAAAATGTCCATCCCCAACCACATACAGTCCCAAATTACAAACTACTCAGGACTTGTAGTCCTAGGTTGTAGACTGTATTCACCATCTCTGCCCACACACGTCACCTGTTAGACCACGACTTCCTCCATTCCTTAATCAAATCTGCAGCTCACTGCCAACACTGTGCAGGGGCATCTGATATTTTATATCCTTAGCTACACTTTCTGATCATTCCAAATCCAATAGCTATAAGGTAGGAATTTATGAATATTTAATGAGCATTTTTGAATCATAAATTGACTAAGTAGAAGTAAGACAAGGCATACTTTATTCACTCAGTATTGTCAATGAACTGGTTGTTTATATACTTACTCATTTTTAAGTATTTAACTACTTGTCCTTTTCTTATGAACTGTTACATTTATTTATTTTGATATGATCCTTTGTGGGCAGATTAAGATGGGATTAAGAACAACCATGCACACCTGGAAGAGCACAGGCTAGTTCCCACTCTGTCACCTAGAAATCAAGGGACTGGCTCTGTGTTCTGTCACACTCCCCGGTTGATTGATTAATTGCCACAGCTCTCCTGGATGCCTGTGTTCTTTACTGTTTACATCCACCATAATATATACATCAATACACAGTTTGAAATTTGAAATTTTTTTTGCAAAGGCCAAAATCCAACAGTGGGAAATTGACTAAAATTTTTAAATGATAGTTCATAATTTTGGGTGATTATAAGAGATATTTATATTTTAGGCTTAAGTGAAATCACACACTTCATTTGTCACTAAATATCCTGAGAGCAAAAGTTGCAAATATTGCAGATTCATTTCATTAATTTCATTCTAAGGCTCTGATGATTTTTCAAGGTAAAATAAGAGTGACCTGTGGTAACTTAGTTTTTTGTTATTTAAAAAGAACCCTATTTTGGTTTTTAGAGATAAAATAAGGGACGTTTATTTCTTGTATTTACTTGGCATTGTGTACCAGTGTTTACGTGTTTATACAGCATATGAAAAGTTTATAAAACCGGAAAGTAAATAAAGGAAATTAAGAGACTGAGTTCAAGAGTCACGTGTGGCATTGGTTTACCTAACAAAAATGCTTTCTAAACAATATTCACTTGTTTCAATGCCTTACATTTGTGTCACCCTATAAAATATTCAAAGAGCATCTGTGCAATCCGTTTCAGTTGATCCTTGCTTCTAATTTTTTCTTTAATTGATAGATAATGAAACCAAGACTCAGAGTTTCAAAGACTGACACATGGCAATCATAGGACTACTTTATTGGGTAGTTACTACATTTCCGGCGGTGATGAAAGCCCTAGAGCTGTTTCATTTAACCCCACGCCAGACTTAGGAGGTAGGTATGGTAGCAGCAGGTATGGTAGCATTATTATCCCCTACTCTGATTTTACACTTGTTAAGAAATGTCAGGACGACTTTAAACCAGGCACTCTGACTCCAGAGCCCTGTCACGTACTTTGAATCATGCTAACACATTCTACTTCCCAAGACATGTGTACTAAGCTTTTTCCTCCTTTCTTTAGTCTCTCACCAAACCACCTTTCTTCCCCCTTTTGTCACTTAATTCTGAGTGGGGAAAACTCAAGACATAAGCCCGCAGTTGGGGTGGAGATGAGAGATGCATGCTCACCTCTGTTCATCGCATTAATTGAAACAGGAGTGGGAACGTTTTTCCAAAGACTTACTAGGTCCAATGCGGCAGCCAGGATGGATGCATCCGGAATTGTCCCCGGCTCGCAGCAGTTTAAGAGAAACTGAAAGCGTTTCATGCCTTGTCGGATTGCTCCAAGATTCACCACATTTTTGTTTTTTCCACCGTCTTGGTTGGGAGAAAGATGGTCGTCATAACTGTGGCAGCCTGTAGAGTATGTGTGTCATTGTGGAGGAATGAGAGTGAAATGGACCACAAATTTAAAAGGTGTTTCAAAGGTATACCAGTATATTTTCAATAATGCTGTCTGAAACTTTCTTTCCCACTCCTTCTCCTCCTCCCCACTCTCAAATGCTTGATTTGAACTCACCCTGACTTTTGGCAATCTGTGACACATGGCATATGAAAGTTAAAAGTTTATCTGACTATTTAAGTGTAGGGTCTGCTCATTTTCCTACCAGGTCTTTTAACACTACTAAGAGCTCTTGGTATATTTAAAATGATTCTTCTTGTAATCAACAACAAACTTCTCTTTTTATAGAAAATACAGTCACTGCAATTTCAAATCAGATACAGTAAATTTATATGAAGCACAGCATTATGGAAAAAGGGAAAAAAAACCCCAAAACCTTCTTCTCAATTGTAATGTACAGAATCACGAACTATTGAAGTTGTAAAGGAAATTAGAGGTTGATCATTTAATTCCAGAATTTCCTGACATGGCTGTGCATCAGAATTACCTGAGAAGTTCTTAAATTTCATCAAAATCTCCAGAATGAGAGTTTCTGGAGAAGAGATGTAAGAATTCATTCTTGTGAAGCCTGCGATGCAGCCAACCTGCCCTTGCACTGTGGGCAGAGGTTTGGGATCCCTTGATCCTGCCCCTCTTACTGCTACATAACTACAAGTGAGATCAGTCTGGAGCATATCAAAATGCAGAACATCAGGTCCTTTTTTTTTTTTTTTTTTTTTTTGGTGGTACTAAGGTTTGAATTCAGTGCTTCAGACTTTCAAAGCAAATGATCTTCCACTTGAGTCATACCTCCAGTCAAATTTGCTGTAGTTAGTTTGGAGATGGGGGCCTCGTGAACTATTTGCTTGTGCTGGCCTCAAACCACGATCTTCCCTATCTCAGTCTCCAGAGTAGCTAGGATTACAGGTATGGGCCACCAGAGCCTGGCTACATCAAGTCCTATTGCTAGAAATTTTTGATTCCATAGGAATGAGAGCTATGTATATTTTTAATAAAGAATCCAAATAATTTTGGTGCACAAAGTCTAAGCTTAAGAATAATAATACAAAGGATTGATTCTTATTTTTTAACCCTAAGCACATTTTTAAAAACCCTTAATATTTCATGACCGTTCTATGGCTTTTTATATATATATATATATATTTTTTTTTCTTTTGAGATAGAGTGTTGCTATTATGCCCAGGATGGTCTTGAACTCCTGAACTCATCTGGCCTACCTGCCCCAGTTCCTAGGTGCTGAGCTTACAGATGTGTGCAACCATGTCTGACTTCATTTTTTAATATAAGGTTACAATGTTCAATATGTTTTTTGAAATGAAGCCCACATTCTTTCTCATGAGTCTGAAATAATCTGATGCACAAGAGAAGAATGTGGTAGAAAGATTCAAAAGACAGGGTCTTGAATGGTATAGGAAAGAAAGGTACAGACAAGGAGCAAACATTTTCAGATATCTCCTTTTGAAAATGTTGGTCTGTTTACTCAGTGGCATTACTGATGTTGCCTGCATGGGCAACTTCCTATTATTTCCCATAGCTATATGTCATTTCATTACTCGTTTATATATGTATAGACCTTTAATAGTTACCTATACCACAGGAGTCTCATTTGTTAAAACATTATAAAATTTAACAAACTCTTAAACTTCAAGTTTAAGATGGACCCAGTAGCTAATTAAGATTTAACTGTTAGGTGATACCTGCCTCAACTTTGTAATAGGAGTGATGCATGAGATAGGAACGATGACCAATAAAGCTATTCTCATTTATATAATTTATAAATATAAATAATTTATAATTTATAAATGAGCAGTTAATATGACTTTATTAAGGAAAGCATTAAGAATAAGAACACTGCCATTTCATCTGACAAGATGACTAACTCCAAAAGAAATGTACTCAACATTACTAAAGGAAGTGTCATTTTGACTAAAAGAACTTCAGAAATAATGCAGTTAAGAAGTAAAATAGTGAAGAGAAGAGTGAGGAAACCAATCTTTGTCAGCGAGAACTTATACTCTTTGCTTCACAAAATTATGAACACTTATTACAGGTGAGATTGGCAAATTTCTGCAAGTCCCAGACATAAGAATTATGCTGTAAATAGAGTATTTACAATGGAAATTTTCTATTTTGTTTATATGGCAACATAAGATTTTCTACCATTTCTAAGCATTTGGTATGTGCCAAATATTTTATGAAACATTTCATAATTGTATAAAATTTTATAATTTTATAAATCTTATAATAATTCATTTCCTTTTTTGTAATAACTCTATAAGATAGGTTTTTAAAGATAACTGAAAAAGAGAATATGTGTGTGCATGCATACATATGTTAAGAGAGAGAGAGAACAGTTTATAGATTCACCACCTTGAATGCACCTAATCCCATCTAAGCAGGTCAGACCTGGTTAGTACTTGGATGGGAAAAAGAGAGGACAAAAATATTTAGAGAGAAGTTTAAATTCATAAAATAGGGACATAAAGAGTCAGGATTCATGACCAGACCTACAGACCAGTGTACTCTTAACTTTATGCCATATTGCATCTTTAAAATACCCAAGTGTTTATTCCAGAGGCAAAGATCAGGAGAATCACTGTTCAGGGCAAGAAATTACGAGGACCCCATCTCAACCAACAAGCTAAGCATGGTTGTGTGTATCTGTCATCCCAGTTATGCAGGAGGGATAAGTAAAGGATTGAGGTCCAGGCCATCCCAGGCAAAGAAACACCAAACCCTACTGGAAAAACAACTGAAGTATAAAGGACTGGGGTTATGGCTGAACTGCTGGAGTGCCTACCTAGCTAGTGGGAGAACCTCAGTTCAATCCTCAGTACTACACACATACAAAAAAAAAGTTTCTGTGGAAGGAGGTCAGACTTTTATATTCTACTGTAGGCACCAATTATATTAGGAAGACTTAAGTAAGATGAGAAATAATGCAACATTGTACATGTTATACTTATTGGTTCCTCCCATATCATAATGACAGACTGATTATAAAATTGTACCCTGCAGGAATTCTATATTATATATTAAAGACATGCTAAAAGAGTTTGGCTGTAAACTGTACTCTTTTTTGTCAATTTTTTAATTTAGACATGATTTTCTTGCCTATAATGATTTAGGGGGGCCTCAATACATCTTGGTTGCATTTATTTAGCATTTATTTTTATATTAGGTTTAATGAAGTATAACTTATATAGAGTGTATTTACCATAAACTGCCTAAATCCAAGAAGGAACATTTCAAAGTCTGATATTTCTTTTTAAATGTTATTTTAATTGATAAATCATAATTATATATATTTATGGGCACAAAGTTTCAGATGACAAAATCTATTCTTTAAACAGTATTTCCCAGGGAGGTGATGCCAGAGCTGAGCTCCTAGGAAATGTGCAATAAATTTGTTCATCGGTTCAAATAAACTCATTTCTTTGGTCCTTCAAATATCTTCCCATAAATATAGCCACCATGATTTCTTTTATTTACTTATCTTTTTATTACTATTCATTTACTTATTTTGTTGGCACTGGGGTTTGAACTCAGGGCTTCACTCTTGCTAGGAAGGCACTCTACCATTTGAGCCATTCCACCAGCCCAGCCACCATGATTTCTAAAGCAAAATATTTTCAGTGAATATGAAAACAAAGAAGCAAAAGTTGATCTCCATATGCCATTTGAGTTCTATTCAATGTTCACCAGGCATATTTTTCATAGGTGAAAAAATGTTTAGATTTTAAAGAAATCTCATTGGTATTTTGTTTTAACGCAATGAAGTTCTGATACTACATTTAAATTGAGGGTAAGAAGGTTTGGCATTTATTTTCTTTAACAACTTTAAGAAACAAGGAGATGAAATAGTTAAAATAAATGGGTGGGTAAGGATGTACTCATAGATTACAAAGGAAGGGAGGGAGGAAAGGCAGACTCAAACATAGAATTATGTTCACATGGGCAATGATACTAGTTGTTGCAAAATACAGTGTATTTAGATTAGCAGACAATGTTGTTCTCATTCATTTTTAACAACTGGAGATACTTGTCTTCTAACAGAGTCCAAAGAAATTATCTCACTGAATTTGTGTGATTTTTAACAAGTTAGTAAACATAGGAAAAGAATAGTGTTATAAACTATATTCTCTTGTCAGTCAAAAGCACATAAAATATGCCAGATACTAATTCAGATAGTATGGTTTTGTGCTCCAGACAGGCAGAAAGAGACTGTATTTCTGGTATGCTGACATAAATTCATCCTGGAATCTGACTCAATGAATACTCTATGTTAGATCTTTTCTGTTTGTGAATTAAATAAAGAATATATGAAACAATGGCTAAAATCTGTATAAAAACACAAATCCAGGATGAACTAACATTTATGAGAAATAGTAATGGTAACATATTTGGAAAAACAGTACAAGTAAAATATTAGCTTATTAATTGAAGAATGAAATGTAAAGGAATCAAAGGGAATGTCAACAACTAAATTGTGCTTCCATCTTTTCCACCAAGGAGAATATCTACAAATGGGAAAGTACAAGCTGGCAGGGGTTTGAACTCAGGGCTTCATACTTGCAAAGCAGGTGCTCTATCACTCAAGCCATACCTCCAGTCCATTTTACTCTGGTTATTTAGGAGCTAGGGTCTTGTGAGCTATTTGCCTGAGCTGGCCTTGAACTGTGATCCTCCTTATTTCAGCCTCCCAAGTATCCAGGATTACAGGACTGCGCCACTGGTGCCCAGCTAACAAAAATGAATTTATAATACTGCTGGCTTGGACCACTATACAAATTGCCTTTGAAAAATTATGAGGAGTGTAAAGGGACTAAAATGACAAAGGCATTTGTTGTTAGGAAGATGTTTGAGAACTTTTTTGCTTGTTTTTGTGGTGTTGGGGGATTGAACACATGGCTTCACACATGCCAGGGATCCACCACTGAACCACAAACCAAGTTAGGAAGAGTTATTAAACCATAGATTAATAAGTTTGATGTTTGCCCTAGCCAAATTCTAAAAGAGATAATTAATATCAATAATAATTAATAATAATTAATATCAATTAATATCAAAATGGTACATTGCATTCCATTGGAAGTTGTGAATCTTGTAAAGCACATCATCTAACTAGAGTATACAGGGAAAAGAAATTCAAATAGTGATGGAACTAAAGAAACCAAAGGCATTTATCCAAAAGAGATCAAGAGAGAAAACAGGAAATTAGTAATATGTGGAAGCAGTGTTGTATGCACGTGTGTGAACGTGTGTGCCTGTTTGTATGTGTGTTGTTACAGATGTCGTAACTAGGACAGATGAATCAAGTTTATGGGTAAATATATTTTCAGATTATAAGGAAAGATTTTCTAACAACTGAAGCTGTCTAGCTCAGGAACAAATTGCTTTGTAAAATTATAAACTCCCCCTGAGCAGAAGTGTGCAGAGGGTGGACGGCCACCTGTCAGGAATGTAACAAGAAGAATTCCCAAATAGACAGGTGGGTGGATGAAAGGTTCTGTAGCTCAGATTTTAATAAAGGTTAGAACAGCAGAAGAGGCTATGTCTTATTTTTTTGCAAACCCAGCACCCATCAGAGAGGGAGGAAATTAGTCAGGTTTCCATAAATGTCTATCCCACCAAATTGATAATAAAGAAGTTATACATAGTAGTAAAAATCACGTATGAAAAACAAATGAAAAGCAATGCAAACAGGAAATGACCATGTTTTTAAAACTAAAAAGGGTTTCAGAAATAGAAAAGAAAAAAGATAATTTGATTTCAACAAATGCAGATGAAAGCTGAATGGAATTCTTAGGCCTCAGGACATTTACCAAGACGCTTGAAGAAGTGCTCTTCCTCTTCTCTTCCATTTTCCACTCCACTCCCAGGCCCACTTTCAGAAAGCTTCACAGCGCTGGTGAATTTGACCTGAGAAGAAAAGAGATGTCATCAGATAACTAAACCTGAAGGCAAAATTTTGAGTTAGACTAACCTTGGATTTGAAAAATAAGTTGTAATAGGTAGGAAATGTTTATAAAAGTGGAACTACTCTATGGAACTCAGGAAAGGAGGGAAAGGAAGAGAGAATGATAGTGCAGTAATAAGACTGTAAAACATAACATCTGTGAAGACAGAAGATATAGCAATATGTACTGAAAGCTGTTGAAAAACAGCAGGGCAGGGGGAGGGAAAGGGTAAGGGAGAGTAATGAAAGGGGTTGAACAAACCAAGGTAAAGTATACTCATGATGGGGATACATGGAGAAACCCCTTTGAACATTGACCTAGGAATTAATAATGAAAGATGGGACTGTAAAATTGGTTCAGTGTGTGTGTGTGTGTGTGTGTGTGTGTGTGTGTGTGTGTGTGTGTGTTACTTATGGAAGAGGGAAGGGTGAACAAAAAAAATGAGGTGAGAGATATGGTTGATGGACTTCATATATGAAATATATATGAAATAGAACAATGAAGCTTCTTGCAATTGTTTGAAGTGGGATGGGAGGGGGGTCTAGGGGGAGAGATGATGGGTATGATCTAACTAATGTACAATATAAGCCTACTTGGAATTGTCACAATGAATCCCCCTGTACAATGAATATATCGTAATAAAATTTTTTAAGAAAGAAAAATAAGTTGTTTAGAATATGAAAATGACTCATTCTAATGGCTTTCACATCTGGTCAATTTAGTTAGTATAGTTCATTCATGTGCGAAAAAAGATATCATTATAACTGCAAGTAGAAGAAGGACCTAGGTCAGAGATCAAGAGATGAATAATCAAGTGTTATAAAAATAATTTAGTGTACAACTGAGGTTTGCTTAAATTTTAATTCTGATAAAGTCCACACTCAAATTCATAAACAGCAAGCCACATTCATCCTTTATAAATACCACCACACTGACAATCAGATGGAAGTGAAAGATGGCTAAACAAAATATTTTAAATATATTCATCAATTCATAGTGCATTATAATAAATGTGGAATATATTTCTATTTCTAAGCATTAATATTTGTTCTTGGTCTTGCTTTCAACAGAGAAAGGAAGTTATGGGCCACACAGACTCTAAAACTTGATCAGTTTTTTAGTGAAAAGAACATGACACAGGAATTATAGTTCCTAATTGTTATGCATCTTGCTATATTCTTTTTATAACTTCAATATAATATTTCTATGTAGACTAGATAGAAGAGTATAACCACATAGTCTATATATAAAGAAATGTAACTCATACTGAAAAGTAGGTGTATAAGTGACTTGGCCATGAATCATCCACAGGAAAGAGTGTTGTAGGAAGTCAGTTTTGCTGAGAATCATAACCTCTTTCAAATCAGATGCTACTGTGATGTATAACAGCAAAATGAAGAGCACTTAGTGAGAAAAGTCCTCCTGAATTTCTTTATCTTTTTCAGTAGGGAGAGCTGTTCCAAAGGTAGTAGAAGGTGAGTGAGTTGTGTTCAGATGCGTATTTTAATACGTAAGAGGAATCACTGTAGAAATACTGGATCCTTGGAGAGGCGCTTGAGATATGAATGATTTTACATGCATGTTGAAAGTTAAAAATAGCTGGGAAACAATGCCCACATACATCTCTATGTCTGCATTACAATTTCATATAACTTTTGCTACATATTTCCTTTTTCCCATCTATAATGGCTTACTACTTAAGCATTTTATTTTCCATTGCTTGTCTAAGATTCCAGAGTTTCTTCAATTTCTCCTTATTTGGCTTCTCCAGGTGTTTAGTGTTTCTCAGCCCTGACACTTTTCTAGCAGTAACTCCACGTTCACCTATATGAGTAATGGAGCAATGTCCTGTTTACCTTGGAGCTTTGCCTGATGAAAGACAGGCGGTCCACAGAGCTGATGTCCAGGAGGTCCTCCACGCCATCTGCCAGGCCGGAGAGGGAGGATCGTTTCAGCCAGCTTCCTATTTAATAATTATTTTTTAAAAATTAGACTGTTACTGTGTTTGCTCCCAAATGGATTAAAATGAAATGCCAGCATGTGCTCAACAAGCCATGAAAGTTACACGCCATAGATATAAATAGAAGCAAAAACAAGTCATTTCCAGTGTACATACTGTGAATCAAATTGTCAGGACTGGGTTATAAAATTACATGAGTGAGACCAGGACAAAAAGAACCAGGTCTTCTCCAGTACATAAAATCATGCTCCATTCACCTATCGCAAAATTCTGTTCCCTTTTTGTTCTGAATAGCTCTCAAAACTGTTCACTTTTCTCTTTCTACTTAATCACCTAACTCAAGTGTCCATTTACTTACGGGCACTAGTAGGCTAGAATCTTTCTGTATGGTCTCTCTCATAAACTAATCCATTCTCAAGTGTGATTTCCATGCACTGGTGTTTTAGAAAAAAACGCTTGTGTTACTCTCCAGTTCAACAACCCAGCTTAACCACCTGGGGATCTAGGATGTAAAGACAACCTAACCTGAAAGATATGTTCTGACCCCTGTTGTTCAATCATAGTGATACAGCCACTCTTCCTCTTGTTTTGATTCTTCCAATTCCATCCTTCCTATTGTCTTTGTACATATTACTACCTGAAGTGCTCTCTTTCATCTCTCTTTGAAGCATTCTGTAGATCTTAATGTCATTCCCTCTAGGAAGTCTTTCCTGATTCCTGCCTCCTCCCTGCATTTACAGCCATGTATATTTCCTTCATAGAATTCATAGTGTGCAATTATACCTAGTTGTATAATTATCTGCTTTAGTGACTGTGGCATCTACTGGACTGCAAGTTCAGCAAAGTAGGCAGGGCTGTGTGTTTTGTTCATTCTTTGATCTCTGATACCTAGCAGAATGTTTGCACACAGTAGAGGCATGTAGAAGGAGCTTGAGAAATATCTGCAAAAACAAAAAAGTGAATGAATGGATGGATGGATGGATGGATGGTTGAAACAATAAGCCTAGGCCTCATGACTTAAAAGCTTTTCTGTACCCTACCATGTACTGCGGTGGTCTTGATTATGTGTTGATTTGATGACATGGCAGGCAATAAGAGAATCCATAAATAAATGCAGACATACTTTTACCTATGGGGAGCTTAAGCTTCTTCCGCAGGGAAATTCTGCGAGACCGTGAGCGGGCGCGCCGGTCAGAGGTATTCCCTGAGTGGGCAGTGGTGCATTCTGAAGTGTCCTGCTCAGACTGGCTGCTGGTGTCACTTGCTGCACTCTGGGATTTGAACATCTTGCGCCAGAAATCTTTCCTCCCCAGGTTGCCCCCTTGCATTTGTTCATCACTGCAAATAGAGAGGATAGGGTTAACATCTGACAAAGCATGCGAGATTCTCCTGCCTCTCTCAGCCTCCTGCTTCTGATATTTGGGCAAATCATGCAGCGTGATCTTTGATGGGCTGGGTGTGGGAAGAATGGAAGTTGGAGTGGGAGGCGGGAGACCAAGGTTGACTGTGAGCTTTTCTTGAAAATAGTCATGTCTCAGGAATCAGTGGAGGTGGTCATTTTTTTCAACTTTAATAAAAAGACTAAACATTATTGCAGATATTCACCTGCAGTGTGAGTCATAATAGCAGAAGCACTTAAAATGTCAGTAAATATTTAACTTTTGAAAAAGCTCTGTGGAGCTAGTACAGTACTTTCTCACTCCCAACACCTCACCCCAGTACAGAATCATTCTTTACACTAAACAAACTTGCAAAAAATATTTAAATGAATGAATGAAATGTGATCACCATGCCTTCAGAATATATCACCCTACAGCCAACAAGTCAAAGAAAGTAAGTGGAGTTTAAAAGTTAAAAAAAAAATAGTAAGTCCAACTCAAAAGGAAAAATAGGAGCAGCAGCAAGGGGATGTTTGATTACAGCAAGTGGCCAAAAATATATAGTGTTTTATCTCATAGAATTAATAAAAAGCCAGTTGAAATGCTATTCCTATTTTTCATTCAATAAACTGGCATAGATTGAAAGAGGGGAAGAGAAGGCAATGGCACTATCAGACCGTCATTGGTGAGAAAAGAATGAGTCAATCTTTCTAAAAGGTAATTTGGTAATATGTTTTTCAAAGCCTATATCAGTGCCCTTTGACTGAGAAATTAATTTCCAGGGAGTAATCTCAAAGAAATGATGGATCTACATACTAAGATGCAGATATAAGAAGGTAATATTGGTCAACAGTGAAAAAATGGAAGCAATCTACGTGTTTAAGTCGAGGGAAGCAGTTGAATAAATTGTAGAATTTTTATATCACCAATTGGAAGTTCTCTGTAGTTACTAAAATATTATTTTAGAATATAATTGATATGAGAAATGTTCATGAATCATTGATAAGCTAAAAGGCAGTGTTCAGTTGGTTTAAACAGGGTAACACCTGTTAATTTTTTAAAAAGTACACATGTGAGCATGTCGGTATGAATTTATATGTATACATGTAATGCTCAAAAATGAGCTCAACACAATACACAAAAAACTTACAGAAGTTATCTTTAGTTAGTGTATCATGGTTTATAAACTACTTTCCCTTTATACTTTTCTAAGCATTCCATATTTGTTGTCTTCAATAGAAAAAGTTACAGAAAATGCTCCAGTAATGTGATGAATTTTATTTATGGGGTTTTTGGTAATGATTTGCTTATAAGCTTTGGGGATGAGTCCTGAATCGACACAAAATTTGGTAGTGTTGTGTAAACAAATAATTTTTTGGAGACATTTATATTCAGATTTCTCTCTCTCTAAATATCAGATTACTAAATATTTTTAATCTTATTCTAATTTAAGACATTTCTATTTATCAAATATGGTATACATTGAAATTGCTTTTCTAGAACTTGACTTCTCACTTGTGAAATGATCATGACTTTGAGGCATTTCTTACCTTTGAGTAACAAAAGGCACAATGGTGAATGTGTGATCATGTGATCTGATTGGGAAAATATCCAGGGAGACTACAATTTATCAACATTTTCAACAAAATGTTACTTTAACTTTGTTTCATGAGTGTAAGAAAACCATTGTTAATATTACCAAGTTAATGAGTCTATTATTTACGGAAATATAATAAGAAGGGACAGGAAAAACAGGGAAGGTAAAGAAAGAGAAACAGAAGGTAGAGGAGAAGCCAGAGTCGTCCAAAGTGATCACCCCCGTCTCTCCAGTGCTAAACAGATATTTGGTAAGCTCATCTCTTGGGTCCCCACGGAAAAGTTCCATATTTAACATTTTATGACATTCTTCCAAGTGGAAATATTTAGGTAGAGGGATATTAAAACATGTCTTCATTCATAGAGAAAGAACAGGCATAGGCTAAATGCTGAGAAATTAGGCAGCATTTACAAAACAGTAAACAAAGAGAATATTTTGGAATCTAAAATTTTAATCACTTATGAAGATAGCCAGTTTATTTTTAAAATCCAATTTGCCTTTTAGTTCATTCTTATGGATTAGATTAACGTAACAGTTGCTGATATTATTAGGAAAAAATTCTGTCTCCTCTTTTTTGGGCAGAATTTCTGAGGATAAAGCCTTTTAATGAATTTCGTGGCTATTCAGCCTTGGCACTTTGTCTTTTACATTCATTTTTTCCTTAGAGTTTATGTTTGGATATTTGCCATGTCCTTAAAAGAAAAACTCAAATTTACTTTTGAGGAAGAAAGGTAAAGAAAACCAAAACTTAATGATAATCTAACAATTCTGTTCTTTCTTTGATTGATTGTCATTCATTCTCGAAATATGTTTTCTGTGTTTATTATGAGCCAAATTCCATCTTGGTAAACAAAGACTAGCATGGCTTATGGGCCCATGAACTACATCTAATTTCTTCTTACCTTTCTCTACCCAGCAGGAGCAGTCTCTAAGATTTGGAAGTGCTACAAGAATTGTGTAGGCTTTTTGTTTTTAAAGACTTTATGTGCTTTTTTTGTGTTCATTGTGTTTGATGGCTTTTTCCATCTCAGGTTTGTTTTAGTTGATTGTGGAGAATGGATACCAGAATATCTAAGAATATCCTGCTGAATTATTGAACAAACAATCATTTAATACCAAATAAGAGTTTGGGAAGAAAAATGGCATATTAAAATGATGTACATATTTTAAATATTGATCACTCCACTTGTGGGTGAATACTTCCCAAATGAAGAATAAATATGAATGAGCCTTACATAGAACTAGGCTATATATTTAATGTCTACAGTAACACTTACACTTTCCGGGGGCATTAATTTTAAAAAGCCTTTGATTTTGCCATTATGAAAAATGGAGAGAAACCAAGTGTCAGAAGATAGTGGAGTGGATCTCAGGATAGGACCACAGTGCAATTGGAGGAGACTATATTTCAGTTAAAACTGAGCACTAAAGAAGTTTACTTACTTTCTGAGCACAATGACAAACATTCATCACTTTAAAAAAATTGTGAGTGATTTTAAGGAAGAAAGTGGGTGACACCATTACATCACTCACATACACACTTATTTTTTTTTATGATTTATCTGTAGCACTGTGTGTGAAAGGTAGAAGTGAAGCTTTCTGTAGGCACAGGATAGTTATGCCTATTCTGCAGAGATTAGTGGGATTGAGAACAAAAAACAAGGCAAAGTTCAAAGGAAATGAAAAAAACCCAGTAACAACAAAAATACACAAACTAACAAAAAAGCAAATAGCAGTTAAGAAAATAAAATTCTGTCCAGTAGGAAGTACCTAGCTCTTTGCTTTGGAACATAATCAAAACTGCTTACTGCTCTGGAGTCTGTGAGGGTCGACCAGACATGAAGCTGCGACACTCCTCAGGTGCAGAGGACACCTGGCCCTTGTCCACAACACTTCCCGCCTCTGACCTATAAATGGCACATTCCAATAATCACAAAGAGCAGGACACCATCTCTTAATACTTTATATGCTCCATAAAGCAAGAGATCTGGTATGGGCAATCTATATGACTTGCAAACCCTTGTCACCACTATCACCACAAGTCTATGCTGTGTGGAATTCATAGTGACCATGCCGCTTCATTGCTTTCCAGTACCACCAGTGCTGTAAGGAGACTCATTAGCTGCAAGCAGGATTGCGAGCTTAGAGGTTTCTTTTAATCTTTTCAAGAGACATTTAATATTTAATATGCATAAGATAAATGTATGTTTACTGGAAGAATAACCAACATGATTCGGAATACCAATTTGCTTCTTGTCTCATTTAGATTATCACTTACTGAACAGGATGACATGGTTATCAGTAATTGTTTTTCCTTTCTGGAAAAAAAATGTAAATTATGCATAGAAGAAACTGAAACAAAGATCACATTTTACTATGTAATTAAGGGTTATAAAATTAAGTTTAAGTATTTGAAAATTTGGGAATAACTGATAAATACTAAATTTATCAATAATAATTTTGGCATTTGTTTGATAGTTAACTCATTTCTTCTATAAGCTTCAAATGGACCACATCAGTGATACTACTTAAATAAGATACTTTTATCTTTCATACTCGATGTTATACTACATCAGCAGCCACATGGATAGTACAATAAAAGATAATATTCCACTGACATAGGCAAACACTAATATTCAGAGAGCTCAAGCTTCCAACCTTTTACCACCTGCTGGCTTAGATTCCTGTTCACTCTCCTCCACCTTTTTCCCTGGTGCTAACTTTTCAGCACTGTCAAGCAAAGCACTAAGAGCCACTCTCCTGAAGACATTCCCATGGGCTTCTTTGATAAACTGGACCAGCTGACGGATGTCACAGTACAGTCCCTGTTTGAAGGCAAGAAGAAAGTTTGAGGAAGGAAAGATAGCCATGTGATTAGTTTTCATCAGAAGACAGGAAGAAGGCAATTCCTTAGGCTTAGCTGAGCATTGAAACACAAAAGAATGGCAGTTACTTCTGTTGAAATAAATGGAATTCTCCATCTACTACATTGTTACTAAGGAAGAACATTGCCAGTCATCCTTGGTATGAAAAGGATGGTTACCACAAGACTCCTATTCAGAAAGTTGGCTGTATTGCTAGAAAGACTTCAATCTACATTTGTAACTATTGATTCCCAAGTTTTAATTTTCTCTTTTAATTGCGAGTTCTGAAGAGATGCCTGCAAAACAAAAAGGGTAGTTAGAATTTTGTTTAGACTAGAGATTTCAGTCTCTGTTCAACTTCTTCAAATTTTTTGCATTAGTATGACAAAATTTTAAAATATGTCTGATAAAACAGGACACAGAAAGCTGGATGACTTTTGATGTTCACATTTAGCAAATAACATGTTCCAGTTGAACAGGATCTTGAATATGAACTTAAGACTATCCATGCTATTAATTCCAATATATTTGTAAATGGACATTTAAAAATATGTTCAGGAGGTTTTCTTTGTTAAGATAATTAAGCTTTGCATTGAGCATTTCACCCTCTTGTTTTCCTCTTTAAAGAGGTAGTTACTGTATTCTTTGCCTTAGGAAATGTTCACAGCAAAGCAGAATGCAGAAACATAAACATACCATAATAACTTTGGTTTTCAAAAACCTAAGACCACTGGGATAATTATGCCCATGATCTTTACAAAACCAGACAGAAGGGCCTGTGAGGGGAGCAAGGCCCCGTGTACTTCACTTTTTTTAATAGCTCCTCCAAGGAAGGGGCAAGACCCCAAAAAGCCAGGGTTCTAAACTCACCAGAATATGCCATCCCAAGCACTCAGCAAAGAGCACTATGTGAAACAACAGCACTAGACCCATACAGGGGATCGGTGGAAAATTGCCAGGCCCTAGAAGTTACCTTAGACTTGGGGTCTTTATATTATACTTTGGGATGGAGAAACTCAAGAATGACTGAAGTTCAACTTCCAGCCATTCTGTTGGGATGATAGCTCAAAGTCAAATTTACTTTGATTTAAACAAAATTAAGAAAAACAATATCACTTTAACAAATGAGGTTGTGGATAAAGATTTATCACTTATATATATTACCACCAACTTGTTAAATTATTTTTGCCATAACCAAAATGAATGCATGAACAGGTTCAAAAACCTTGTTAGGTTGGCTTTGATGCTCAGCAAAAGTATTTTATTCTGTCTATATCAAGTGAATCATTTCAATAGTTTAAAATAGCTCAAATAATGTCCTTGATTTAGGCAAATTAGTGGATAATATTCATATGTGCAAATGGGCTGATTTCTGCTTAGAAGTCATAGTATCTAACAGACTACTAAGATACAGAAATGCTACTTTGCTAACCAAAGACACCTGAATTTCATCTATTCATCTCAGATTTCTCAGCCTTAATATGCATTTAGTATCCTAAACTACAATCTCCATGGTAGCAATTAAATACTAATCTTTTATAGCTTAGCTTTCCCTCATACTTGTGGCTTTAGTAGTTTAATTAACACAATCTTTTATGAAGAGTGGTTAAAAAATTAGAGTGCTCAATAAAAGAAAACAAAACCACCTTCAGCAGCACATTTGCATTAATTTAAAATGTGAACATGGTTTCAAATACTTTGTATAGCATCCTTTAATATTTCATGACTCAATAAATTTCATTCTAGCATCTTCTTTCTGCAGAGCTCAAAATACCTTGAGACTATTTAGCTTAATAGTTTGAGATGAAGGGGGAAGACAAGTTATGAGGTGAGACATTTTACTCAGAGAAGAGACTGAGAACTCCTGTGGGAAAAAGGACAGAGCATCTCACCAGATTCTCAGGGCTGTGCAGTTCATGTGTGGTTGATGCGCAGCGTGTGATGAGGGACTTAAACATGGCACCCACGATGATGCCTTCCACATTCTGGGCTGTGGATTTGTTGTCCACCGTGGTGAAGTTATTTCCAAACCCAGCCTTGTCTGGAATGCAAATACACATGTTAAAGGCAATGTTTCCATTAATCTTCATGATGGAAAGGAGTAAGGAAGTAAGCGCTGACACCCAGGAAATGCTGAAGGGCTGCAGGAAGTACAGAATCAGGATTAAACACACCTCTGATGTAATAATCTCTATGAAGATTTGGCAATATATGAATCATAGTCTCTTTCACAGTCTTTACTATGACACAACCAACTGCATTTATGGAGCATTTTGGATCAAAGGAAAAGAGGTCAGCTTCTGACTATAGATCTAGAATCATTTTTTAAAATAGGTGATCACTTTAAAAAAATCTACCAAATGGCCCCTAAATAGAGAAAGAATTAAGTCAATTCAACCTCGTCAGTGGTGAGGAATGCTGGTTTTTCAGTGGACACTGTTCAGTGTGTTAGAAGTGGAATGACATGTGGCCAGGGGAGCTGGACAGTGAGAAACAAAAGGTAGTGAGGAGCTCTGCAAGTGTGCTGGAAAAACTGAGTCCTGCCCACAGTGCAGAGTACTCCCAGAAGCTTCTTAGACCTGTAGAGGGCGACAGCCTATGACCTCCCTCAGAGCCACTTCCTTCTAATCATACATACATGAAATACTAGTGACCTAAGTCCATCAACCTCCACAGTATTTCATGCCAGTGTTTTACAGATCCATGGCTTTTTCACATAGGACACACAGGAGTTCTGACCTTCACAGAAGGCTTCCTCATAGCTGTGAGCCAACTGTGATGTGAGCAGGGCAGGCACAGCTGTAAGATTAATCAGACCGGGACCCGTGTCTGATTCATTGTGACCCACACCCACATCTCAAGAATCCCAGGAGGATCACATCACCAAATATAATACACTTTATTACCAACTTCTCACTGTATTGATGAATAAGGCATTATCTCTAGATTTTACACTAATGATAAAAATAATTTTGTCTTGACTTATGGCTCCTATTTCAAATAGCATTTAAAAAGAGAAGAATGTAATTATATAATTGAAAATTTCTCTTGCTGATTTCAACAACAATCCTCACTGACTTCATTGTTTATTAAATTTATAATATGCTTGGCTTAAAACAATTCTGGTAACAGATTATTCCAGGGATTCTATAGAGAGCAATATTTTGTCTTAATGTGATAATATGACAATAAAGACTGAGTTACAACCAGGAAAACTGTTTCTAAATCCATCAAATATGTTTTCGTTACAAATTATTTAACTACTATCATTCACATATCATATGAACAATAAAAGTCTATATTGAGATGCTATTTCTTCCCAGACTCTAATAAAAATGTGTATTTTACTCAACTTGGGCTTCAGGCTTCACCTTCAGTTCATTATTTGAATTGTCCTGGAGGTGTTTGGTTTATGATAAGTGCAGCTGGCATTCACTGTTCTCTTCCTGTAACCAGGTCTCTATATAGAAGTTTCCTTATAGTCATGCAATTATAAAACAGATCGTCGGCCTATGCATCTCCCTGGTTTTTAAAAATTAAGTCTGTATGTAAAAGTATGTTGAAATTGTGTTATTACTATGTTTATGATCATCGCTTTGCTTTCTTTACTATTTTAGTTTGTGAGAAAATTGACAAGCACTTTGCCTGGCATAGAGTAGGTACTCATTTCATATTTACCAAACTAGTAAATATATTCCCTTGATTGCCATATGAGTTGTCATAAAACAGAGAGAACTTTACCGAATTCCCATTCACTGAAGTGAGTTATCAACTGAGGTAACTTATCCTCTGAGGACAAGATGTGTCATCAAACATGATTTGCAAGCTTCTTTTCTTTATACTCTATTACACAAACATGCACACATGCACAAACACATGTGCACACATGCATGCATGCACATATATCCTTTTTCTCTAAATTCTATCCCAATTAATTTAGTGTAGTCCCTGAAACACTACCTGCTTCACCTTATAGTGATTGCTCCTAAAACTCAGGTGTGGCTTTACTTACTGTCAGTGATCGGCTCCATACAAAATCCTAGCAAAGCATGCAAGAAGTCCACTACATTATTGAGAGAATCCTTGTTCACATAGTCCCTCATGGTTTGTCGGAACTGCATCTTATCTAGCTTGTATAGTTTAGTGAGGCAGCTCTGGGCCTGCAATGAAGGAAAAAGTGAAAAAGTCACAAGTACCAGCTTAAGTGAAAGATACCATTAGTCTGAGACCAAAGCCTTCAGGAGGCCAAGACTTCCATCTAGACCCATTTGTTGGAGCTAGCTAGGCCTGCTAGCCCCTGTTGTATGAATAGGAAGTAGGTAGAGACAGACTGGGCAGTTCAAGGGACTTTACACTGAGAAGAACCACTCCTCAAGAAAACTCCAAAGCTGAAGTCCAGTGCAGGTCCCAGAAGGAGCTCAATCTTTTCACCAAGGTGAAAATTTTAAGATCTTAATGAATATAACTCAAAGTATAAAATTTACAGAAGTGATAGAATTTGCAATCCACACTTAGAAAACCTCAAAGGCTTTGTGCAGTGGGAAGAAGCATGCCACTCTCATGTCTAATCACTTCTAATTTAAGTAGACTTAATGGAGGAGTGAAAGGAAGAGGAGTAGAAAATGGGTATCGAGTGTCCTCTTACATGGCAAAGAGCCAAGGCTCTTGAAACACAAAGGAGGCATAAAAATAAAGTCTGATTTGTTTATTGATGTGTCTGTATTTGAATATGAAAGTATATTTTAATAGAACTTGGCCTCATGAATATGAAAACAAATGACCATCAACTAGGTCCTGCTACTTAAAATAACAGTATATTTCTTATAATCCAGTGAATAATTTTTCTACCTGCGAAAGGACAAGGGAATAATTCCAATCATCAGAAGCAACAAGTCCCAGTCATTGGCTGCAGAAGGCAGCAGATAAAATGGCTCTGCACTGCCTAGGAACAGTAGGAGGCCTGATAGCTCTTCTACTATCAAAAGAAAAATATCATTTGTGTGTTGCTTTGCTGTTTAAAACAATTTTCTTGAATTATTGTGCATCATATCTGTCTTTTATACCATTTTTATGATTTGCTGATTATCCTTTTCTTACAGTTGAGAAAATTTAGGCTCAAAGACTTTAAGGACTTTGTCCAAGTTGACATTGCATGGTCTAGAGTAGAGCCAAAAGTGGAAGTCAGGGTCCTGTCTCCTACTTTGTGATTTTTTTCTCCTATGAAATAGTTTCACTAATAGTTCAGATAATGATAGGCTTGAGGAAATGTATTCAGATACCATCCATGTTCAAAAAGGATTTAAGATGATTGATACTAGAGATTTGCTGGTATCTTGAAGAAGACTACTTATGAACAAAAGAGATACAAAAAAGTCTATAATGATGGAATGAAATGGGGAAATGGCAGAAGTCTCTGGATTGAGGGAAAAGGGCCAAGGACCAAGAAAGGAGGGGTAGCTGGGCGAGGTCCACCTTAATTGAGTCTGGTGGGTGGTACAAAGCATATAGTTGGACATAGAAGTTATATTGGGGAGGCAATTCATAAGAGTTAGAATCTTATTGGTGGGCTATTAATGTTGACCAAGAGGAAAACTTTACCGTTTGGACAAATCAAGGCCCAGGGAAAGATGTGGAAATCTGAGAGGAAAAAACAAAAGACTATAAAAAGGATGAAACTTGGAATTAGCTATGTAAGTTTTTTTAGGTGACCTTATTATAAGCTCTCCATCTGTATTAAGACAGATTTAATTTTTCATTCTTCCTTTACTATGTCTGAGAAGACTAGAAATTAGGTATTTTTCTTCCCAGAGAGCTTATTAGCTGTCAGATCTTAGGCAAGATCATTTATTATTTTTTAGTAAAATACATGTTGCTTATAAAAACATTTACAAAACACTTGGGTAAACTATGTTTTGCATGAATTCAATTATCATTCCACAAAGAATTTGTGAAGATCTTCATTGTAATATTTACCAAGCACTTTTAAAGTCTTGGGTTGGAAAATCCTGAAATACAAATTATTCCGTATTTTCTATAAAATAGAACAAAAAAGAATAGTTTCAAATCTGGTCTTTGCAGGGTATAAGATAGCTTGATTTCTTGGAAAGTTTGAGCTCTGTTTGACTTCAATGGAAAGTTTAAGAAAGAGTAAGGATCCCAGCCTTTGATACTATTAATAAAAATAGTAAAGAAAAAAAATCCTCAAATTTTAAATATTTTGCTTCTAAATGAATATTCTAAATTTCTTTAAGAGCTGTAGAACCATTTAAAAATGAATTCTTTTTCAATAAATTGGGACTATCAGCTAAGAATTAGATTAGCAATCCAAGAAATATTAGGAATTATGTAATAGAACCACTAGGCACTTTAATGAGTATCATTACAGCAATCTTTTAGTTCTAAAACAAGACACAAAAATACTATGAAGGACATGAACTTGTAAAGATAGGAAATATTCTTAACTTTTAAAATGTTAAGTGACATGGGAAAACCTAATGGTAGAGAAATCTGGAAATATCTAGCTTTTTGAACTAGATGTTTCCTCAGGAGGGGATTTTTTTCAAGTGTGTATTTAATGTGTTTGTTGAATATGGATAGGCATGTACAATCTTTATAATGAATATAGCAGGCTTACAAGATAATAAAGGAATTGGCTCATAAATTAAGCTAAGGAGACAGTAGAAAAACCGGCTGGATGACTCAGAGAAGCATAAAGTATGTTTGGGGAGGAAACCATGGTATACAAGCATAACAATGGGCTCTTTTTTGATTCAACCAGCCCTGATTTCTGTAAGTCCAGAAAGACAAGATATGGTTGTCAGAGTCAATTCATACCTCAAGCTAGAGCATGACACTTCTTATAGTTTTAGCACCTTCATTTCATGAAATTGGTCTTTGGCAAGAAGAGTGAGGTGTTTTATTTAGTTATGCAGGCTTTTATTCATATGCGACAGAATTAAAAATTGAAGTTCAAAATTCATGTACATTTGTGCAAAGATGGAGGCAACATAGGCTCTCTACTTACTGTCTTGCTATTTGTTATCTTGACTTTATTTTTGGTCTCAAAATCTAAATCTTGCTCAAAATGTTTGACTTTCAGGACTTCGAAGTTAATTATGGAGAATATAACCCTCTGTATACAGATTATAAACTAAAACAACACAATTTAACAGAATAGAAAACACAGATGGAAGAACAGATAGATGGTAGATGATATGTTAGGCAAGAAGCATGCTAACACTGTGTGAACATTTCATGACAAAACCTAAACACCAAGGAAAAATGGGATAGCATCAGATTTTGACATGATCCTAAAACTCTGCTGAGATAGATATACCAAAGGATTTCTTGGTCTCAAATTTACATTGAATTCTTACTTTTAAAAGAATATTTTCTTATAATTTTAATTCAAACATATACATGAGGCAACTGTCCTAGCTCAGGGTTGCTAGAGGCAAGTTACTGCTTAAGTCAGAATGGAGAAATAGCAGACATTGGAGGCATTTTGAAAATGCAATGTTCCATTACAAAAGTGCTTGGAAAGCACAAGAGCAGAGTTTCAAGTTTCACACAGTTTAAAGGAACATGATCTCAAATATCTAGAAGTTGAGGGTCATTCTCAAGCAAAGCAGTCAGAAATGACTGGCTACTTTTATAGTCCTGTTTTGTCCCAATAAGGGCCATTTTCCATATCTAAGAAGAAAAACAAACTAAGTTCTAAACTTTGATCCCTTGCTGTAATGCAAAATATTTCTATAGTACCCAGACAGATGATTAAGAAATCATTTGTCACAGGCCATCAGAAGCTTGCTAAATGTATTTATTCATCAGTGCAAATTTTTTTCAAACTGCAATTCAATGTTCTTTCAACCCCAATTATACATCCTTTTACCAACAGGTTGTTGGACTACTATAGGCAAAAGGCAGATGGGTTTTCCCAATCAAACTTTCCTAAGTCTGAGTTTTAGATCTCTTGAGATATCTTGTGGTCCATCTCCCACTCCAAGAGAGCATTAATTGCCCTATGAAATATAATATATTTCAGGAGACACTGACCCTCATTGTCAAAGGACTCATTTCTCAACTGGAGGGAGGGAAGAGGGAGAGGAAATGGAATCTACTTTAATTCTCTTACATTCTCTCGGAATACCTGGTGTCTCAGACGATCTCCAGAGAGCCCTCGGTGTCCTTCTCCGCAACCATAGGCACATCCCAGAGACTTCACTATTTTGATAAGCATGGTAAGAGCAAGCCTATGGTTGCTTACAGGTGTACCCTCATCCTAATACAGATGATCGAGAAACAAAGAGAAGTTTGTTGACATTGACACTGAGCTCCTTATAGAACTATGATTCTATTATAAGATTAAATATAATTTATATGTTTTATGGCAATCATCTGCAATTTTTGGGAAATAGAATTGTCAAGAGCTCAACAAACAAACTCACTTTTCTTAAATCTATTAATGAACTAAAAGAAAGGCATTTATGTTTTCTGAACATCCTCTGGTGGTAAAGAATATGAACTATTTTCTTAGACGACATACTTTATATCATTGACTATCAGAACTGCTACCTAGAGGACTAGAGGTGTGACTCAAGAGGTAGAGTCTAGCAAGCCCAAAGCCCTAGTACTGTAAACAAACAAACTAAAAACCTGCTATGGAGGAGAGAGAGAGAGAGAGAGAGAGAGAGAGAGAGAGAGAGAGAGAGAGAGAGATGAGAGAGAATGGTCAGTGGTGAAGGCAAATAGATTTTCTTAGAATCTTCCTTCATCAGTAGGCTTCTGAAAATACCACCAGATAGGAATTACTGCTGTAGGGCAGAAAAGACCTTTATGAATCACAAACACAGGCACTTGACCTATCATCAGTTTTCATTACATAAATTATTTGTACGAAAAGAATATTATTTTGAGAAATAGCTACAAAACATTTACATCTTGGTGCTATTTTGGAGATCACACAATCTGACCTTAAGACATCCCACATTGATTAAAAGTAATTAATTTTGATCAAAATAACATTTCTAGTGTCGAGGTAAAGTATCTAGGATAATATCTACATACTATGTATTATTACAACAGGAGAGGAAGCTTCTTCAACAAAAACTGCTGGGAAAACTGGTTAGCAGTCTGCAAAAAACTGAAACTAGACCAATGTATATCACCCTATACCAATATTAACTCAAAATGGATCAAGGATCTTAATATCAGACCACAAACTCTAAAGTTGATACAGGAAAGAGTAGGAAAAACACTGGAGTTAGTAGGTATAGGTAAGAACTTTCTCAACGAAACCCCAGCAGCACAGCAACTAAGAGATAGCATAGATAAATAGGACCTCATAAAACTAAAAAGCTTCTGTTCATCAAAAGAAATGGTCTCTAAACTGAAGAGAACACCCACAGAGTGGGAGAAAATATTTGCCAGCTACACATCAGACAAAGGACTGATAACCAGAATATATAAGGAACTTAAAAAACTAAATTCTCCCAAAACTAATGAACCAATAAAGAAATGGGCAAGTGAACTAAACAGAACTTTCTCAAAAGAAGAAATTCAAATGGCCAAAAAGCACATGAAAAAATGCTCACCATCTCTAGCAATAAAGGAAATGCAAATTAAAACCACACTAAGATTCCACCTCACCCCTGTTAGAATAGCCATTATTAGCAACACCATCAACAACAGGTGTTGAAGAGGATGTGGGGAAAAAGGAACCCTCTTACACTGTTGGTGGGAATGTAAACTTGTACAACCACTCTGGAAAAAAATTTGGAGGCTACTTAAAAAGCTAAACATTGATCTACCATTTGATCCAGCAATACCACTCTTGGGGATATACCCAAAAGACTGTGACACAGGTTACTCCAGAGGCACCTGCACACCCATGTTTATTGTGGCACTTTCACAATAGCCAAGTTATGGAAACAGCCAAGATGCCCCACTACTGATGAATGGATCAAGAAAATGTGGTATCTATACACAATGGAATTTTATGCGGCCATGAAGAAGATCGAAATGTTATCATTCGCTGGTAAATGGATGGAATTGGAGAACATCATTCTGAGTGAGGTCAGCCTGGCCCAAAAGACCAAAAATCGTATGTTCTCCCTCATATGTGGACATTAGATCAAGGGCAAACACAACAAGGGGATTGGACTTTGAGCACATGATAAAAGCTTTAGCATACAAGGGAGGGGTGAGGATAGGTAAGACACCTAAAATTTAGCTAGCAAATTTTGTTTTGCCCTTAACGCAGAGAAACTAAAGCAGATACCTTAAAAGCAACTGAGGCCAATAGGAGAAGGGGACCAGGAACTAGAGAAAAGGTTAGATCAAAAAGAATTAACTTAGAAGTTAACACACATGCACAGGAAATTAATGTGAGTCAACTCCCTGTATAGCTAACCTTATCTCAACCAGCAAAAACCCTTGTTCCTTCCTATTATTGCTTACACTCTCTCTTCAACAAAATTAGAGATAAGGGCAAAATAGTTTCTGCCAGGTATTGCGGGGTGGGGGGGAGAGGGAGGGGGTGGAGTGGGTGGTAAGGGAGGGGGTGGAGGCAGGGGGGAGAAATGACCCAAGCTTGTATGCACATATGAATAATAAAACAATTAAAAAAAAGACAGGAGGAAAATTCTAAAGAAAGGCTAAGAAATCCAAGAATATTGGAATGGGAATTTGGATCAAAGTTCATGAATATCAGGAAGATACAATAAACCACAAGATGAAGAAATACATATGATAAATGCACATTAAGTATGCACCAATGGTAGAGATAGAATAGAATTCAAAAGGGAAAGTTCTGTAACCTTTTACAGATGTAATAACTTTACACCCTATAAAATGGGAAAATTTATAGCTTATATAGTGTATGTTGATGATAGAACTGTGTACATTGTAATCTTAACTTGTAAATGACATGATATGTAGGTTGTTACCAGTAAGAGATTTAAATCTCTTGTTGATTTCAATTTCTTAGCATTTTCCAGCTAAAACTTCAAGTTGAATCAGTGTATGTTATGTGAAATTAAGTTGTGGTAATTTTCATTTAAAACTCAAATTAAAGAAGAGAAATTCTTCTAAGGCACAATCTTATGCAGAGGGAGGGAAATTCAAGTGTTTGCTAAGGCAGAAGGAATAAGATTAAGGAACAATTAATAATAAGGGACGTGACACATTGAGCCATGAGAGGACTGTGCTATTTCCACACCAAACCAAGGCCAAATCAACCACCCAACTATCAAGCAAAATTCTTCCTTTACTTAATCCTTAACTGTGGTTAAAGTTGGTGACAAATCTGTGTTACCCAAATCAAGAAGAACTTTAGCTGAAGAAAAATATACTACTTGTTATAGACTGGAAGTCTTCATATGTTGTAGGCTTGTCATTCTGATGGTATTTAAGATGAGCCTTCAGGAGGTCAGATAGTTTTGCCCATGTCCAATAGGAATAGTCTCATACAAGAGATACAAGATTTCTTAGTCTCTGTTCTCTCTATTTCTGTCTCCATCTCATGAGACAAAAGAGGTCATATGACGGTAGTCATCTATAGGCTAAGAGAAGAGGCCTCAGAATGAAATCCGCCTGCTGGCATCTTAGCCAAGTACTTTCTAAAACTTTAAGAAATAAATTTCTAGGGGTAGGATATAAGGAAAGGGTATAGGGGATGAATATGGTGGAGATATTATGTGCTCATGTATGCAAATTGAAAAATGAGACCTGTTGAAACTATTCCAGGAATGGGAGGAAGGGGTGGATAAAGGAGAATGATGGAGGGGTGAATTCAACTATGACATATTTTAAGAATTTCATAAAAGGTCACAATGTACCTCCAGTACAACAATAATAAAAAATTATTTCCTCCCCTTTAAAAGAAAGAAATTTCTGTTTTTTAAGCCACTTAGCCTACACTATTTTGTTATGGCAACCTGAGTAGACTAAGATACTACTCAATTAGACTAGACACTGAAAATCTTGAAAAAGAAAAGGCTATCCTTAGTGGAAGACTAAGAACTATAGTAATGTAGGGTATCTGAGATGTTCTCCTGCACAAATAACATGATGAGAGAAAGTTCTAACATGGATGACAATGGGTTTTAGATTTAGAATACAGTCTCATCTGTTTCTTTTTCATGCTGAGAACCTAATGAAGAGATTTCTATACTCCTTACTTTCTTGCTCTATAGCTAGTTGCTGTCCAAGTCAATAAAATGCTGGCAAGCAAACATTGGAAAGAAATTTGGCACAACAGTACATGAGGACACTGAAGGTGACTCAGTCATACCTTCTCTTGGTTCTTATCATTCTTCTCATAAGGGCCACCTCCACCTCCTCCACCTCCTCCTCCATCACCTCCTCCACCTCCTCCATCTCCACCTCCTCCTTCTTCTCCTCCACCATCTCCAGCTCCACAAACTGAAGGGCCCCCAAATCCACAGCTGGAACTTCCAGATACCGCTTTGAACTGGAAAGTTCCCTCGCTTGGTCTCTTTTCCACAGTCACATTTTCCTTGTTTTCACTCTTCTTTCTATTCTTTTCTACACAGGGCACTACACCAAGTTGGAGCAAGCATTCTACAATGTTTAGTGCCACATCACAGATGCGAGAGCTGATGTCATGGTTAAGAACAAGATAAACAGCTTTCAGAACCACCTGCAGAAGACAAATATAAACACAAAATGATGAAGTTACCTGCACTCCCTCTTCCTAACTAGAATTGTTTATTCTGCTTAATATATTTCCTTAGACTGTGCTATGCACTTGGGTACAAATAATCCAGCAATTTTCAGATTTTCTTATCTAAGTTGCATTGGAGCATTATATATATACTTAATATAGAGTTGAAAACATGTATTATCTCACCTAAGTCTCCTAAAACTTTCCATGATACAGACAGTTAATGGGATAATGAGGCACAGTGAATTAATGCAAGAGTAATTATTTGTCCAAATGGATACTTGTTCAACAGATTTTTTAAATCAAAGTATTTTAATCTTGTGCCTTTCAATTTATACAGATAATGAATAAAGAACAAAGATTTCCTTATGCCTGTAATAGAGGAACATTTGCTCATTCATGATTGTATCATTATTCACCCTTCAATTTTAAATGTATAATATTTGCATGCTTAAATTACAACCCTTTATTAATTTTAATATCTTAAATGATTTGCTGAGTCTGGTCCTTAATGTGCAATAAAAATGTTGGTGAAATATAATTGTAAAATATAACAACCCTTTCATTTGCTAATAGCTATACTCAAGACAGGCATTCTTGAAAATGTAAGCTTGACTCTTTTAAGGACTTCTATTCATTTTTTCTGGCTACCCAGGAGGTTTGTAGTCTTGTTGCTTATATAACAAAAGAAAATAAATGAACTTCTTGCATTCATTCTGGAGAAAAGGAAACTTAGCAAACACTAACATTTTTGGCTGAGTTCACATTTAATCTAATGTTATAGTTGGAAGAAAAACAAAAGATGCCTATGATAGTTGACACAATTGTGAATGAAAATGCAGTTTCTTTATTTTAAACTCCAATACTTCTAAAAATCTATAGACTCATTTTCCCCAATCCTGTAAAAAATTAGACCCTCATACGAAAATTTCTCACTCCTTACAGAGAGGTCAAGCATGCCATTCTTGTGAACAAAGTTGTTGGTGCCATCAATATGTTCTGTGTCTTCCAGGTAGCTGTAGTTTATGCAGGAGTCAGTGAGGCTTCGAGGCAGGTTCGCACATGCCAGAGGCTCATGTGGCATCTCTGGGATAGGCACCTGGTTGCAGAGCTTCCTCATATGCTCACTGAAAAAGTCTGCGTAGCCTACGTTGAATGATGCCAATGTGGTATTGAAGGTTGCAACGGTGATAGTGGAGATCTGAGATCGCACTGATAAAATGAAAGTAATGTCTTAGTCTTCCTCAAATGAACCTGCTACATCAGTTAGACAGCTATGCAATTATTTAAATCATGGCTACAATAGTAGTCGGAATTCATAGTTATCTGATTTATAGCTTCAAAGCTAGTCTCAACCTCCATGGAACTGCAGAAGCTGCAAGGTCATATAATATATATGACAAATAATGATGGTTATAGAAAAATCAAATTGCAACTAGCTCTCGTAAGGCAGAGCTAGGAGTTCACTTAGGTCTAACATTAACTTAGTTTAGTTGACCGTAATTGGTAGATTTTACCTACAATTAGATGACAGACCATATTGATATAAACTAATTTAAATGAAGTATTGTCCCACAAGTTTATAGTTGTTAAACTATTTTGTCTTGATCTAGTATATAAGGAAAAGCAGGAAGAAATTTTCTCCTTTGGTTCAAAGTAACAGAGCATAAATGTGTGGTGGTAATTAATAGATGTCACAGGATATTTGAAATACAGTTCAGAGGTAAAGGATTCAATTTATGTTCCTAGGAGAACATAAGAATAAAAAAGAATGAATAATTCTGTTAAGAGTAAAGACTAAGAGCCTTTCTAGGACTTCACTCAGAAACATGTTGCTCCACATAGAGCAACGAACTGAAATAGAAGCTGTCTTTAAAAGGAGCTGGTAGACTTGGGAGGCCGTGATTTCCTCTCACTGGTGGTATAAAGCCCCTCAGAGAGATATCACAGAGTGATCCCAGTACTGAATCTGAATGTTTTCCAGTATCTTTTCTGGCCCTGTGGCTCTGTGATTTTTTTATATGGTACTGGGGTTTGAACTCAGGGGTCTGTGCTTGCTAGGCAGGCACTCTACTTCTTGAGCCACACCTCTAGTCCATATCTTTTGAAAATAACTTAGAATGGTTTGTCCTTGCTCTCCTCCCTGGTATCCATAATGTGTGTCAAATAGCTCTTGCTAAGATACGCTAAGAATGGCTAACAAGCAATATGATGCAAAAGTGAAGCTTTTTGAAAACCACAAGGATGCAGAGAACAATGAAAATGGAACATGATACAAGAATAAGAAACAGGAAAATAAATTTAAACACCTGTCCAGGGGTCCCCACCTAGGACTCACCTTCCTTGACCGTGTTCTCCCCGTGACTGTTTGAGTGGTCCGGCAAGTCGCTCACCAGGGTGTGATGGGAGTGGGAGTGTCTGGCACTCAGACTCTCCATCTCTGTGGCTGCATCTGAGCTTCCTCGCCGGGTCAATTTCCCTGAGATGAACAAGAGTACCACAAGAAGTTTTCAATTTCTGGAAGAGTCTCTGCTGGGAGATTTTTATCTTTCCGAAAGATAGCAGTGAGAGTGAGGGAGTGTTAAGATGGGGCACAGACAAAATTGTAAGAAGTGAACTTGCCTTGGGAGTACTCAAGGTCAAGATGATTGATGCAACTGCCTGTGATAAGGTCAGCCCCAACCTAAACCAAATGTCAGAAGCCATCTGTTGTGCCCTGCTAGCTGTCAGCTCCGGATTTTAAGCTAGCTTTCCTAATATGCCACCCATAAAGGGGGAAAATATTTCATATTTGCTTTGCTTCTTCCTTTATTAAATAGCAGTTAGGTAAAAGTCTGTCTTTAGATTAACGAGTGAAGAACCATAGAAAGTTATGCTTCTGCATCTCAAATGATTAAAGAAATAGGGCCATTACTTGGATAATTATACAAGATTCTCATGTAACTAATTCAATTATTTGCATTTCTTTGGCTGTGAAAACACAGCATTATTTTAGTACTGGGGAACTGGCATTTGGGCCCAAATTTTTTGGCTGAACTATTTAAGAAAGATCCAGAATTTGCCAGGGAGCCCTAGATCAAGACTCCAAAATAGGTCACTCAAGCTCTGCCCTACTTGGAAGGCCTTTGCGAATACCTAAAATGGTAGTTTGCCAGCCTCCTTTTTCAATGCCTCTCCTGTCTTCTCCAAGACCAGAGAAACTTCCAAAGGAGAATGTGCTACGGGTAGGGGACACATCCAGGTGGTCCTCATGAAGCAGGAATGGCACACCCATTCTCCGTGGCCTCCTCTTCCCTGTATGGTGGAATGGAATGGAGCCCTTCCTCTCTCGATCTTCTTTGCGGCTCTTGAACTGCAATGATGAGAGATGTAGGGTTGGCACAGGACAAAGGAATGGTTATAGCTTGCTTCCCCAGAGGCTCTGTGTTTGGTAGTAAAACATAAGAAATGTTCCAGGAAGTAACTGAACATTATGCGAAGGAAATGGTAGAAGTTTCCTTAATGTGTTAAAAGAGCAAAAGAAACTATGCAAAAAGTCACACATTCCATAGATCTTTCTGCTCAGTGGGTAAGATTAGTGTTCCTCAAAAAGTAGTGCCTGGACTAGGCAGGCATCAGCATCATTTAGGTACTTTTAGAAATGCAGATTTGCAAGTGAGAAACCAGGCATCCCACACCAGAAACTCAGAAGGGGAAGCCCAACAATCTGTGTTTTAACAAGCCTTGAGGTGACTCTGATGTACAAAGAAATTTGACAACCACTGGATAGAGCATAGCACCCCTGAGTCACTACTTGGACCCAATCTCTTTTTTATGTTCCATTTTTCAAGATTCAGATTCATTGTTCTAGTTAGCTATGTATCATTGTTCACAAGGAGGATAGAAGGTGAAATAGAGCATGCCTTGGTACAAACCCATTATTCCTACTAAAAGCAGCTCAAGATCAAGTGTAACTAAGAGTTTGATATTATTTGGATAGCTTTAAAAATATACCCATGCCTAGATCTAACCTACAGCAATTCTGATTTAATTAGTCTGGGATCAGGCCTGGGCACTTGGATTTTTTTTAAAGCACTTCAAAAATTCTTATGTGTAATCAGTATTGAAAATCTGATGGTCACTGCCTACTGCTGCATCATTATTATTATTTTTTATTTTGGCAGTACTGGAGTTTGAAGTCAGGACCTTGGGCTTGCCAGGTAAGTGCTGTACCATTTGATCTGTACCTTTTTGCTTTAGTTTATTTTTCAGGTAGAGTTCATGCTTTTACTGCTTTTACTGGGGGCTGGCCTCAAACCATGTTTCTGTCATCTTTGCCTCCTTCATAGCAGAGATTGCAGGCATATTTTACTATGCTGGCTACTACTGCATTACTAATGAAGGCAGACATAAGTGGTTGTTTAACAAAAAAACTGATCTCATAGACAAATGAATAATATGCTTTGTGTTCTACATTGACATAATAAGGCTAATAATTTTGAAAAAGTGAAAACAAAGTAACTATATCTACCTGAGTCTACACATATTTTCTTTTTGATGAGTTATCTGAATGTAAAGAAAAATGGGGTGGTAAAATCAGAAGAGTATGACCTAGTTAGCTAAAAGACCTACTTTTAAATTTGGGCTCAATCTTTGCAAACTAACAGAATTTTCTAGGTGTTAATTTCTTCTGTGCAAAACAGGGAGGATAAAGATCTCATTGGATTAAGTGAAAAGTATTTAAACAAAGTGTTTGATAAACTGACTTTAACCATACCAATGAAAGTAACCATCGTGGCACCACACAACCACGTCCACCACTATATTACATCATCAGGATTAAGCATCCTGACAACCTGTGGAACACTAAGCATAGGAAGCACCCATTCACCCCTCTACCCCACCACGCCAAGCACACACACAGAGGACTAGAGACCATGCTATAAGCCAGTGTTATCCCTGAGAACTGACTTTGGCTCCCTTTCCACCCCACCTCATACTGTAGCATAATCAAAAGGACCTCATGCCACACTGATTTTTTTAAATTACTAAAATATAAAAAAGGCATAAATAGTTCTACTCACCTTTTTAAAGATGTTCATGCCCAGGTCTGAAGAAAGATCTGGCACTGCAGATCTGCGTAAATTGGTCAATGAAACCTTGGAAAAGGCCTCAGAACTAAGAGATTTTTCCTCTTCATTACACTTCATAGTGAGATCCTTAACAAACAAGAAATGTAAGCAATGACCAAGGATTTATGGATAGAAACAGAAATAGTATTCTTCTTGAGATGTTACCTTTTTAATAAGGATGTGCCTATTGTTTTGATATCTATTAACTATTTAATTTGCACACCAGGACTTTTAGAATCTAAATTCTGCTCCTGCAAAGATATATTTCATATTAATTGTAACTTCTGTTTGCAATTTTTGGTACCGTGGCTATATAGTCCCAGATTCAAAATTCTAAGAAAAGTGGGAGGCTATGATATTTCTTTTAAAATTTTTAAAGGAGTGTTTTTCTAGCAAAAATAGCATAATGAACCCACTAGAAACTATCGGGGGAGGAGGAAGGAACTAAAAAAGAGTAATATAGAAGGGTTGAATTTGACCAAAGTACATTATATGCATGTATGTAAATATCATATAACCATTTGTGTAATATATTTATGCTACTAAAAATTTTAAAAAGAGTGTTTTTCTAATTAATTTGTTTTTACCTTGCAGAGATTATCTACTAGTAAAACAATGTGTTTCTTTTTCACTCTGATATTGCTCATTTACTTTCAGAATATATAGAAAAAATTTCAGACCTAGCCAACTCAAATTTGAGCCTATCCAAACAACTGGAACATCCTGAAAGTCAAACTTTTCTCTATATTGTCAACATGCGGTATCAATGCAAAAGGAGGAAAGAATAAGTGTTCAGCTGATATCAAGATATCATTTATCAAAAAGTAATTTTTATAGGCTGTGACCACATCAGAATGGTCAGTTTATGTCTCCAAAACTCTACAATAAATAACAAGATTATATATCAGAACGCAATATTCCTAATGGTGACAATGAGACACTGAGAAGAGTTATGCAAAGAGATTAAATCACATTCAGCAAAATGCCAGTGCCACATATTTTATGATTTCGGTAATTGACAGATTACATGTCATAACTCTCATTGACTACTACTTTGATTATCTAGATGACCCAGTTTTCTATATTCTGGTAAAACAATGGCTTACACTAAATTAGTGTGCAAGAGGTGTACTTCTTTCAATGATAAATTAAGAGCAAAAGGGCCCAATGGTGGAAGATTAGCAATAAAGTAACCCACTCTAGTCACCACTGGAATACATAAGAGCTGGATGCATGGGAAGAAAAAGAGAAGGTATTACAGCTGAAAGTGTTAGCTCAAATGACAATGGACTTCATTTGTCTTACTTGGGTTTTGTGGGTGTTCACTAGAGAGGGAGCTGCTGCCACCATTGAGCTACTCCTGGGTCTGGGCAGGAGAGGAATATCTGGCTCTGGGGGCTTTTCTGGCTTTTCTTCCAGCATATGTCGTAGCCTTTGTAGATAGTACATCAGCGACCACTGAGTGCCCTCCTCAGACCAATGGGGCTGGAGTAGGCAGCGAAGAACAGCAACATCAAAGTAGGTGGCATAGCGGGACCTTTGGCATGGAGGTATCATGAGAGAAGCCCTGATCCCAAAGACAGAAGGAAGATAATTACACAGGCACCAAGGCTTCCAAGGTGCAGCACAATATGGCTTATAGCTCTACTTTTTTATTTGTTCATTTATTCATTCATTTATCTCTTGTCTGCTTTACTCTAACGTCCTCCTAACTGATCTTATTAATTACACTTTTGCTAAACATTTCCTGGAAGTAGAAACATTAAGAGAGTTTTGAGGAGGGTGAGAAGTGCTTAGGCAAAGCTGAGGTTCAGGCGGGAAGGCAAACTGGCATTTCACTTAGAACAATGCCTGCAAAAGGTTATCAATTTAAAAATTATGAGTTGAGGGGGATCACATGTAATTGCAACAGTTGGTGGTAATTTAGATGATGGACAATGAAGAGAGTCAAAGCTATGAAAATAGACGATTTCAGATCATGAAGTTTCTTAAGCCATCAGGTTTGACTCTAGTAGAAACAGGAATGATTTTGTCGTGTCTACTGCATTGGGTTATTTTAATTTCATTTTTGAAAATATTATATAAAAGAACTAGGGAGATTGCAAAATGCTAAACAAGTCAATTTTACTATGAGGAAATGAAATCATTTTGAAAATTCTAGTTATATAGCTATAAAAGATAGCAAAACTAATTTTTAAAAATCTCAAGGTTCTGAAATTCTATTACTTAGCTTAAACATCACAGTCTTTTATTTGTAATAATTTAATTCTACTAAAAATAATTTTAAGCAATTAGTAAGTGTAGTATATCATCTTAGGTATTTTAGGAGCAATGTTTTGTCCTTTAGATTTCATATTTTAAAATCCTAACCCCTAAAATGATAATATTGGGGAAGGGGCTTCAGCAGGTAATTAAGTCATCATGAATGGGATTTATTTTCTTATAAAAAGGACCCCAGTGAATCCTGGTTTTCTTCCCACATATGAAGATATGACAAGAAGGCAGTAGTCTGCATCATAACCCATCTGGCACCCTAATCTCAGATTCCCAGCCTCTATAATTGTGAAAAATAAATTTCTGTTGTTTATAAGTCATCCAGGCTACAGTACTTTGTTACATCAGTCCTAACTGACTAAGATTAAAGTGATACAATGATTTGTCTTGGGGAACATATGGTTCAGTATGAATGGTAGGTAATAAATGACAAAATAAGAATTTCTGGATTGAAGAGAGCACCTTTGTACATTTGGTGAAACTTTTGTTTCACTTTACTCATTTGTCAAGAGTTATTATTCAAATGTATTTCTTACTGTAGATTGCACAGTTAAATACAAACAAGTATTAAGCAATTATTCAACATAATACACCATCTTAGGTATCTTAAAAAAATGGAAACCCAAATCATGTCTGCTCATCATTTTCATAGCCTTTCTACACTTTTATCAAAGCACATGTCACATTTTGCTATTCCAAACCTCATCAATAATATTGTCTGATGTGCTGAGTGGCAATTGCCATTGTACACAATTTTTAAAAATTCAATGTTGCCTTTTAATCTCACAATCTTTAATATTTCAACTGCCAGGCTGGAAACAAAATATAAGTTGAAGTTCAATCATATAAGTTCCTATAATACTAAATTATTTAACTGAGTCAGAAGTTATATAGAGAGAAGTTTTCTGAATACTTTAAATTCTCATACCCTCTATGCTAGAGCTTATCTTTTTTTCCAGAGAGCTAGAATCCCTTTAAACATCAGATATACGTCAAGTTTGAATCTATCACAGAGTCCCATAGATTTCCTCTTCCAACCACATCATATTATCCCTACCTATGGATATCACACTAGTCCTGGCTACTAACATCTCTCATCAGAAGTATTGCAATTACTTCCTTCAAGTATTGTTTCTTCTCTTTTTCCTTCATTCTCCTGCTCAGCGTTTCCAGAAGGTTATTCAATTATTGTCAGAATGAAGTGCAAGCTCCTTGAAAAGGTCAGCATGATCTGGATGTGTCCACCATCACTCCAACCTCAATTTTCTATCATGCTTACCCTGGTGTGCCAGTTGTCAATGTATTGCCTTTCAGCTCTCTCTCTCTCTCTCTCTCTCTCTCTCTCCCTCTCCTTTCTCCTCTTTCTCTCATTAAATAACTCCAGTTTTAATAGCTTCTCAAAATGTTCAGTGTCCCACTTGTTTTCTCCTGACTTATTTACACATTCAAGACCAGTTTAAGGGAAAGTAAGAACCTTTATTCTCATTTCTACCCATTTCCTAAGAGGCTTTCTATTCTCCCCTTCCCTCAAGCTCACTTCATTTCTCTTTCATAAAGAAGCATGACCTAAACTATTTATACCTAAGATAATAGGGATTTTCCTTTTTTAGTCTTGGATCTATAAAGAAAAGACCAAGTAAGAGGTTGGTTGGCTACCAGCTGTGTAATTTTAGGTCCTCAAACCTTCATGACAATCACTTGACTTATTATAAGAGCACGTGAAAACTGTTATTTTCTTGACTAGGCTTCTGTGATTAATTCAGACATTAGCAGTTCAACAGAATTATTCCCCCTCATACCCTTTAGTCTAGCTGAAGTTACTACTTACCCTTTACTTTCTCCATCCCTTAGAGTCCCTAGGTATTTCTAGTTATTAAAGTAGATTAGGGAATCCCAAAAATTATTTCAAATCCCTACAGCATATAAAATGCCAATTGACCACTTCCATGAGAACACCACGGAGAATAGGAAAGGGGGAGGATGCTAAAAATACAGGCACCTAAGTTTTAGCCCAGATTTCCTAAACCAGAATTTCTGAGGGTGGGGGCCAGGAATGTTTATCTTAAAAAAATATCCTTAGGTGTTCTTTACATGCCCTGAAAATTGGAGGACAACTGCCCTAGAGAAACCTGTGATACAGGATTCCTGCACTTTAAGGCCAATATCCAAAACAATTATTCTATGGGAACATTATAACTGGGATGATATGTTGACAACTTCATGCCTGAGGGCACCAAGTGACTAAATTTATATCTTTCCCTACACACCAAGTTTATTTAACTGAAAATAATTACTAACTGTACAGCTAAGTCCTATAGGCATTAACTACTTTCTAACAGAGCTTGTCAGTTAAGCAAATGTTAGGCTGCAGAACATCAAGATTCCATGAATACAAGGCTGTAATCAGAGGCTAAAAACATGTCCATAACCTCTCTCATCAAAATTTTCTGAAAAAATTCATATTTTGATTGCTTAGTATTGGAAGAGACTCGGTGAACTCTACTGGTTGGAATAATCACTAGTTGGAATAGTTACTAAGATGTAAGAATGAACACTAAATATCTTATTATATTTAGAACACATTATCAGATATAATTAACTGAAAAGTGATTTTAATTAACTAACAAATATGTGACAGAAAAATTTTCGTGGGTGGGTAAAAGTTGTGTGTGGGAAGCGCATTGTATGATGTGGTAGACAGGTTCGTTCCACCACTAATGTTGGTAGAAAAAGTTAAAATTTTATGAACGATGAAAGAATATCAATAAAACATTTCTTCTAAGTGATGTATGTAAAAATAATTCAGAGAAGCACACATACAAAAAGACAATGATCCTTACATATACCTGATGGACTCATGGATGAGTTTCACTTATTTCTCAATATTCTAACATCTAAATAATTACCATTATACAAAATCATGTGCATAGAATACATAGTACATTATGATGAGAAGAAGATTTAGAAAAGGTAAGAATTGCCTTAATCTGTTTTCCAAGCAACAATGTCTTTGGAAAACCAAGTTATTAACAGAGTGTTAGAAGATGAGAGAAGAGAGCATCAAAGGCAAATTAGCATTCTGAAGTAACACATAATCTGTGGAGGCAGAGAACTGTGGAAATAAGTCTTGACCCTGTGCAGTACTTAATGAAGCACAAATTAAGTCCATGCATGTTGTAATTAAAGATGAAATCTCACATTAATTTAAAAAAACTAGCTACTTGTTTACTGATTGGAAACATCAGGGAAGAGTGATTATTTAGTTTGGTCAAGGTCTGAACAAAAGCCTTGATGAATTGGATTTGTTTACTATAAGTAGACAGCTTTGGTTGCTAGAATGTCTGCATTGCTTTGTTATTAAAGTTCTCTTCGTTTATAATAAATACAAGAACTCCTCCAATAAAGACACATTGACACTAGCATTGTCTGAAAGGCCTATCTTGTGCCTAATTTCCATGGCAACTAGAGACTGTAGCTAGGCAGAGAAGAGCGAACTCGTTTTTCTAAAGTGCTACTGATTCGTGTCTATTTCACACATGTGGGTGTATGTGTGCTGTGGATGGGAAGGCTGTGTACATATGTGTTTCAAGAAATGCATAGATGTGTAGATGCTTGAATGTGGTAATGTCAGAGAACAATAAATAAAACAATGTTCTTCCACAAAGAGTAATTTTGAGCATTTTAGTTGGCTTTGTTTTTGTGGGCAAATCAGAATAGAATCATTACAATTTCATTTTTTGGAGAAAAGAAACATTATTTGCTGTTTATATTTGGAATTTCTAATGCTTATAATGGCTAAGAAAAATTATATAAGAAATATAAGCTTGAAGATATTTTATGACCTCAAGATTTCAACTTGAGTTTGTTTTTATGGTATTTTTTAGTGTTAGCTACAAGCTTAGCACTTGAAGTAAGAGATTACTTATTCTTATGTTAAATTAAATTTAACCTTTTTGGAATATGTATAAAACAGAAACTGTAAGGGGGGAATATTCAATAATTGACTGAAAAAAATTTAGTCAAAATCATTGTAATATATAATAATAGTGACTTTAAGCATCATTATTGTTTGTTGTAGCTGGCTTCCAAGAGAGCTCCTAATGATCCCTGCCTCCTGGTATTCACACCCAATGTAGTCACCTGTCACACTGTACAATGGTTGCCTGGCGTGATCCATAGAATGGAATAGAAGTAATGGTATTTCACTTCAGAGATTAGATTGTTGAAGATACTGATGCCTCCACCTTGGTTGCTCCATCTCTTTCTTGCATACTCTCTTGTTTTGGAAGAAGC